GTGTATGAAGGTCAAAACACTTTTACTCAGAATTTGATACTCTATCGATCTGCGGTACAAAGAATAGATCATTCAGTTAAAAAAAATAAAGGTGACCTTGAAATCTCTGAAATGCTTCCACCCACAAAAAAAGCACGTACCTTACAAGATGTGCCCCTTGATACCATTTAAGTTCCACGCCTCAAAATTTTCATAAAATGTAACGTTCAGTCATTATTCGAGATGATCAAGTTAGCTGAGACACTCTGTATACTTTATTATTAATAAATGGATAAATATTAATAAAATAATTCAAACATTTTATTTTTCTTGATTGGCGGAGTCCTAAAAACACCAGGTCCCACAGGAAATTGTTGCATTCTCTATCAATGTTAAATAAAGTAATTTCTCAAGTAAGCTTTTCTACAGATCTATTGAAATCACACACGCCACGTGTGTACAATTCATTTACTTCATTTGCAAAACAATCACTTAAAGCATGTTCTGATTTAAACCAACTGTAATTTTTCATTTATTTTATAAATATAAACTTTAAGACAACTAAAAACATGTATCAGCTATGTTTAATGGAATTTGCTCCATTATTTAGCTTCGTGTAATCAAAGATTTATGAATTTTCCTTCTATATACATTATACTGAATTCAATCTTCCTCGGATGCAAAACTTACAATTTCACACGAAACTTATGGTTACCGTTGATAATCTATTATTTTATGAAATACTGAAAAATTAACAATACCAGCTTAAATGTAATAATGTTTACTTGTTTAGAGAAGAGATCAAGATAAAATAAAAATAAATATATTACAAGTTATTGTTATAAATTAATTTACAGTCGTAGAGAATTTCAATAATGCAACCTAATTTTAACAATTACAGCACTTAATTCTCTAGGGTGATTATATTTGAGAATGTGTATTAAAAAGTATAAAATTAAAAAAACGACTGACCTTTTTGTGGTACCCAATATAAAGGAGGAAAGCAGTGTTACGGAGCGCGAAATATATCAGAGATCCTTGTAAAAAGAACCGCGACCGTGGCTCCCAAGGCTCGCTGTACATTCTAACAAAAAAAAAGAAAAAACTCTTCGTTCGCGGTGGACCGAACAGGCCAGCTATGATTCAAAAGGATTTTCCGTCTTTGGTGCACGTACCACCTTCGTGCTCCCCTGTTTCCACCCTTAATCTACCCCCGGTTGGCCAAGGTCCGCTCATTGGACAGCGATAAGGTCCATTTACATATTCAAATAACTTGCGTAAACTGACTTTTGCATTACATGTGCAGTCTACCTTACACAGTGATTTTATATACATATAAAGAATAACCCACAATTATAATTAGTTATTACAAATGAAATTAAAAGAAAAATATTGGTAACTATTTGCCAGAGAAGTTAGCTTCCATTTAAGAGGGTACGCCACCCTGGAGGCCTCAAAATGATAGGTTACTTTAAAAATGATTTTCACAAAAAGTATAAAAGATACTGGAGGCATTTCTGTAGGTATTCATTAAATAAACTTTTGTCTACAGTTTTGAGTTTAAAGATGTAAATGAAGAAGCAAAATGGCGGTGCAGAAACTTGAATGGCAGAGGTCTCCACTTGTTGCAGGCTTTTGCGGTGCAAGCCATAATTTACAACTGTGATCTAAACTAAAAGAAGTTAAAATTTATAATATCTACATTAAATTTGCCAGATAAATTTACATGGATTTAGAAAAATTTTAATAAATGTGGATAATATAAAAGGAATAATATAAAAAAGTAAATAATATAAAAGAAGAAATCTTATTTTTGGCCCGAAAAATATAGGATATAAGTATGGATTACAAAAAAACTGTCCACCGTATCGCAAAATCCCTACCTATTTCTCTAGCAAATTTAATGTAGATATTGAGAATTTTAACCTTTTTCATTTTAGATTACAATTGCAAATGTTATGGCTTGCACCGCATCAAATGCAGCGTTCCGCCATTCAAGTTCCTGCGCCGCCATTTTGCTTCTATTTTTACATCTTTAAATTCTAAATTGTAAAGAAAAGTCTATTTAATAAACATTCATCACAATACCTCCCATAACTTTTCTATTTTTCGTGGAAACCACTTTTATAGTCACACTATTATTTTGAGGCCACCAGAGAGGAGTACCCAGTTAAGGGGGTACAGGACTATTGAAGATTAAAAAAATCGACTTATTTGTTATTGACTTTCAATGCCTCATTCTTTGTGAACATTTACAAGGAAGTTTCATAAAGAAATTCGAATTATTACGGAAGTTATAACACTGAACGTAACTGAGTGCACAGTAACGGCCTCGCGGAACGGTAGGAGCAGTTTATCTCGAAACAACAATTTTAAACATTATGTATGTTATAATTTTTGAACGAACGAATATTTTCACTTGAAATTTCATGTGAAAGTGTGGAAATCCTTTCTCTAGAACGTGAAACTTGCGCATCAACATTGGGTAGTTGTAAGTTTTTTTAAAAATTAATAAAGACGATTTCTTCCCGTAAAAATGTGAAAAGAAGATGACTTGATTTGATTAATTTTTCTATATATACGTTAAAAAAACGGCGATAATTACTCTTAAGTGATCAGGAACTGAGTATGGGTATAATAATTACTTCGTATCGAAGCAATCCAACACAAAAGAAACCATCGTTTTTGACTGTCTAATAGTCCTGTATCCTCTTAGTTAAACGAAACGATTTATTTGTCCAAATGTAAATGCACAAAAGTCAGTTTACGCAAATTATTCGAACGTGTAAACGTGCCTATACATGTAAACGTGCTGCGGGATCGGCTTGTCGGCGGTTCTTCGACCGGAATCGGCTCTCCCAGCGACAGTGGTGCGGCCCTGGAAAACGGGTTCAATCGACAAAATGGATCGTCGATAGCGTAATGCGGCTTAAACACGCATCGCGGATGTAATGCAATTATTTCACGGTCGTGCAGAAGTCCGCTCATTAAATCGCGCGGGGAATCTATGTTAATCGCCGTGTTGTCTGTGTTATTACGCTGTTGTACCGGGGAGTCAAACCCCGAAATCGGCCGTAACGTTAACGATACCGGGCAACCTCCCTCGATCTATGACCGGCTGTACGATATTGTAATTCAGCGTGAACGGATTTAGCGTTTCGCGGGGCAATTGTTAATTTTCTTTAATTGCTGCATGTCGATGAAAGCAATTACGATCAATGGTAGGAATTTCGTTTGTTGGGTTTAATAGTTTTTGGAATGATTGACCTGCGATAGGTAATTTGTTCCGTCGTAGACCGAAACAACGGCTATACAGTCAGACAGTACCGTTACTTTCATTATTTTATTCCTTCTTTCAGTCAATTTATATTTTCAAGACCGACCCCTTGCCATTTTGATTTCGTTGACAAAGGGAATCAGAGACAAAAGAAGCGAACATTTGGTCTGCAGTCCGCCACATGCGCTCGGTAACCTGGGACCCATCCGCGCCGGGCCTTACCGGGGCGCGCTGACTCGCAGACAATACAGTCATAAACCCTACCGTTGAGAGACTCGAAAATTCGTCGCGGTCAACTCGCACCGTGACCACGTGCGCGATATTTTCCTGACGTCCGCTTCGCCCTGAAGGAGAGGTTTTCCACCTCCACGTCACTTGGAAAAACCGAGAAATTTGCCTTCCCCTTCAGGGCATAACCAATAAGGAGGCGAGTTTTGGTAACGCCTTCAGCGAACTTTGTGGAAGCGCGACGTCACACGAATTCGAGACGGCAGTCGAAAACATTTATTCGAAAGATTCATTTCGCACACACTCGATCGACAACAGACATTCGCGAACACTCATTCGACAAACACACTCGCATTCGACAAGTCGTACACGAACATACATCCGCATTCGAACACTTATCGAATCGATTCGCTCAACATAAATAGTAATATGGAAAATAATTTTATTTAGATCAAATAAAGTGTTCAAAGAGGAGACTTTCCCTAATGATACATGCATTTAATCTTTCGTATGGCTATGAACTGTTGTTTCAATTTAAAATTTTCTAAGCAATTCAAATGTCAATAAGACGGCACGTTGTTGCTACGAATGAAACCTGACCGTTTGGGAAACAAAACTACACACGTTAATGTTTCCGTTGATTGATTCTAGACTTCTGAGTCGAAAGTCATTTGCAGGTCATAGTATCCTATGACGCTGAACTCGTCTTGGCACCAGTTACAACACTAATGAAATTAAAGCTACATGATGCTATTTAAGGAAAATAGCAATGACCTTCAGATAACCTTCAAAATAACATGAAACAAAAAAACTTAATTACACCACCACCTTTGCCCCGTTGAACAATACAACTCCAGTCTTACAAATAGAAACATTATCCTATCTTCAATCCCAACATAAATATTTAGATGCTCTGTTTCTCGTAAGTAACTGTAGATTTTTCTTATCCATTTTATCAAAAGCATCCATCAAACAGAAATTCTATTACCTTATCAAGATTTCTAACAGATTCTAACTAAAACGAAAAAGTCATTAGACTTCATTGAATACTTCTGCATACCGAGGTTTAAGCAAACGTATACCCTAAAAGTGCACAAAATCCGCAATGCAATCATAAAACTGAATCAAAGAATCGTGTAACATTAAAGTGTGAGTAACTTCTATTTTTCTGTAGAATAAAAGGAAATTTTTCACATAAATGTATTGTACATAAACATTAATGTTTGTAAAAAAAACATTAATATTGCACATAAATGTTTTGTAAACAAATTTACAACACTATGTAACTTATAGTGCGTACTTTTTCTTTTGTTCCCTTCTATCAAGAAGTAATGTGGCTAAGTTTAAGCATGTATTGTTAATTTCTCTCTATTTAATAAAATAAAAAGATCAAGTTTGCAATTACAGTTGCTTGTTGCATTTTAAAGAAAAAAAAGAAGGATTCACGTAAATGTAGACATTAAATGAAAAATGTAAGAGTTGAGTAATAGCAACGAAAATTATTATTTGTTTTTAGGAGTGGAGGCGCCTCCGAGGAACGACTCAGTTCGTTTAGAGCCGGGACCTCTGGTGAATGGTGCCGGGGCACTTTACGTAGCGGCGACGTGTGCGTGCGCCTTAATATTAGTCGTCGGAAGTGTCGCGAGCGCCCTGTATATTCGCAACAGCAAGGCCCACATTCAAGAATCACAGTGAGTATAATTTCGTAAATGTTTTCGTCCCCGAGAAATTCTGGTCTCGTGCTCGAATTACCTAAGAAAATTATTTTCATTGTCAGTTGAGAGTAATTGTCATATTCACTGTCCGAATAAACGATCTTAACACGCACCAAATTACAAAAACAAAAGTGTTTAGCCAATCTTTATTATAATAGTGTAACCATTTCATAATAATTTTTAGTGATATATATTTGCAATTATTCATCTTTGAGTTCTCTAATAATAATGAAAATGTTTCTCTTATTAGTCATATCATTCTTTTTAAATAATTGTTGGCATAGAACGTGTTAATGTCGAACTGTAATTTAAAACAAGACCAACAGCCTCTATTAACAAAAGACACACATTTTTACGTACGGCCTTTTTCACTATGGCACGGAACGTGTTAAATGACATTCAAACGTTAGGAAAACGATGTTAATGTGATCACTAGTTCAATATGTATCGGGAGCAAACAAATTGTTTATCAATAAAAATTTGTTAAATCTTTTAAATAGTCTTAAATGGACTGTATATTGGTTCTTGATTTTTTCTAGATTTGGATGGACAGAATATTAGTTTATGATTTTCTGAAAAAAATGTTTGTACAAGATACTAAAAAGATCCAGCTAGCGGATTAATATATTCACCAGGTACATATTTTCACGTATTGTAGTTCTTGTAAACTAATTTTCTCAGAATGGAAATCTAACATTTTTTTAATTATTTACACAGCTCCTCATAATCTTAACGTCAAAGTATATGGCAAATAATAATACGATTCACGTTAACAAGACCTGACATAATAATATAATAATCCTTCCAACCTACTAATTTACCCTTAAATACAAGACACTCTGACTATTAGTAAAACCCAGTCTTCAAGAAAAGCAACTCAAAGCAGTACGATATGATCAATTAATTCTCTAATAAATTCCACACCTTATTTCTACGACCAGTAGGTACGATTACGCTACAACTAATTCGATTGACTTACTAGTGAATTGAGTGTGCCAATAAATAAAGCACTATTTTTTCGTAAAATTCTGTGTTTGTGTTGAATGGACTCAAATATTTGTGCTACCTTAATAGTATTTGTCACTTATTTCCAACAGCCTACGTCATGTTGACTGAATAGAATATCGGACAAGTATTCTGCATTCAAATTATACATATGTACCACAACTTTACACCCTCCGTCCCAAAAATAACCGCACTTTGACGCTTGATTTCTGGAACGTATTGAAAACACCACGTGTCATCACCAGTTACAATCGTTTTTAAGAACTTTTCATCTCTTTGAGCTTCTCGAATGGTATCTTTGCAATGCCCAATTCGGTACAATTTTTGGTCATCTACCAATCGATGTGGAACAAACTTTGAATCTAATTTCCGAAGACCAAGTTTTTGGGTGAAAATGCGATAAATTATTGTCTTGGGTATTCCAATTTTTTCACAATTTTCACGAAATCACGTACTTGTTCGACATTTTCTTCGGTCGTCGTTTCAGTTGATTGGCCTGAGCGTTTATCATCATCCACATCCTCTCTGCCTTCTCTGAATCGTCGATGCCACTCAAAAACTTGTGTCTGTGATAAACAAGTATCTCCATAAGCGATTTTATGGATTTGGAGCGTTTCCGTAGTACTTTTACCGTTTTTAACACAGAACTTAATGTTGATTCTTTGTTTTTTATTCTTTTTTCGACCGATGTGTACAAACTAGTGCATCGCTTAAATGCATCGTATCTTGGCTTCTAGTGAACGAAATGTCATGAAATGTTTACAGATTAGTAAGAAAAATTGACACTTCATAAATGAATCTCCCACCAACAGATGACACCACTAATTTCGTTAGACTAGAACGATTCGAGTTATTTTTCTCGAATTCTCTTTTGTTACAACATAACACATGTTGGCCATGACTCTTTGCAACCAACATCAATCTATTAGAAACGATCAATTATTATAGAACCCGTTAATCACTGATCATCTCAAACACTCTTATTATTCCTATTACTTAACTATTATTCTTTATTTTTCAATGTCTCTACCGAAACCCAACATCTTCATAAAGCTCTCTTACCGGTAACACATCCGAATATCAATAATCCAGCCTAATAGTTCTTCGCTCATTACGCGGGCACAATCGATACAATCTCGAGCAGATCCAGAGAGAAACGAACTTTATATTTATAAATTATCCAGCTTCTCAGACAAACTAACGAAACTAAATCGATTCCATAGTAACGAGCTTCTCTCGACGGGAAAGCCGCCGCGATTACGCATCGATCGAGCTTGTCCCGCGCTTATTAAATCCATAATTTCATTCGAGGCGCGATCGTTCCGCAAATAAATCAGAATCTGGAGGGGGTTGGCGTATGCACAGAATTGCTTGCTCCTAAGATACGCGAGCAATCGCGAATAGTGGTTGGTTCACGAACAAACAGTTTCAAAAATATTTGATCTCTCGTAAACACGAAGAGTTTAAATAGTTCTAACCGAGGTATCAACCTAATATCAATTAGGAAGGTGCTCAAACTGAAGGTCGCGTGCAAACACTTCTAACGATTTGATGAAACGTTCCAAATGTTAAACTTGAGTCACTGCTAACTTTTCAAACGGTTCGATGAATCGATTTATCAGTCATTCTTAACTTTTCAAACGGTTTGATGAAACGTTTCTAACTTGAAGCTCGAATCGCTGTTAACTTTTCGAATGGTTTGATAAAACGTTTCAAACTTCAAGCTCGAATCACTGTTAACTTTCCAAACGGTTTGATGAAATGTTCCAAACATGAAGCTTCAATCACTGTTAGCTTCTCAAACGGTTTGATGATTTAACTTTAAGTTAAGAAACGTTTTAACTTCAAATCGTTTGAACCGTGAGCTTTGGCCAAGCAACATGAGGTGTCCTCAAACATGTTTGTCGTAAACATTCGACACGGCCCTTAAACAGTTTAAACCGTGTTTGATCTTCCAAACTAGCATGTCTATAGCGGTTCAAGAATTTGGAATTTGCAACGTCATCAGACTGTTTAAAAGCGACCTTCAGTTTGAACGCCTCGAATACAAACGATCAAGCTCGACTTGAACTGTTTAAATTCCTCATCAGATGTTCAAATACACTCGAACGGTTTTATTACCCAACACTATTGGTAGGGTGTTGGAAACTTCAGTGTTAGTTATTTATTGATATTATGAAGACATCACTTGACCGACGCTCGTTGTTTGATCCATTTGAAATCTGAAATATTTCATCAAACTATATGAAAAATTAGCTGCGACTCGAGCTTCATGTATGAAGCGTACATCAAACTGTTTGAAAAATTTAAATTTATATCCACTTGAGCTTGAAGTTTGAAACACTTCACCAAACTGTTCGAAAATTTTACAGCGACTCCAGCTTGAATTTTGTCAACACATCACCAAATTGTTTGAACAGTTTACAATGACTTGAATTTGAAGTTTGGAACGTTTTATTAAACTGCTTAAAAAAAGTTACATTCTCTCCTTGAAGTTTGGAATGTTTCATCACATTGTTTGACAAATTTGAACGCCTCGCCACGATCAAACACAGCTTGGACTGTTTAAACTCCTCATGTTCATAAAGGACGAAACATGTTTGAAACTATTTGTTCGCGGATCGACCACTACCCATCACTACACCCGCGGCTTTTTCGTGTTTCGTCGGGCACCATTTCCATTTCCCACGAGCCAGCTGGAGCGAAAAGTCGCCGGTGTTCGCCCACCGTCGCAAGTTTCCCACTGGATGCGTAAACTGAGAGAGAGCTGAACCTGATTTCGTCGCCGTGGGGCAAAGACAAGAAGGGCGCCGGAAGATTTCCACACCCCCGCGGGCTATTCGACGGATAAGCTGGATGGGAAGAACTCGTCGGCATGAAATATCCTTTCAATAAGCCACGGTGATCCGTCGGTCGCTTGGCACGACAGCCGACATTTTATTGCACGCGGCCCCCTGTTCGAAGAAGACTCCTCCGGGAGAGAATGTAAGAGCCAGCGGAAACGAAACCGCTGCTTTTCCCTACGACCTATTCCACGATTTTTTCCGACCCGGACATTCTTCCCTCTGCGTCGAACTAGTTGTCTTCTGCGTAAATCTGCAGATCGAAGGTGACTTTAACGTGTAGAATACTTTCCTTATTTATATGGAACGTGTAAGGTGAAGGGTGGTATGTGATGTGGAGGACTTGTATTTCTGTTCATATGTTTTGGACATATGGTATGTCTAAAGATAATGTGTTATGCTTATGGTAAATGTCGATTTCCAGCACGCTTCGTTACAAACATATTACTTTTTACGGAAATAGGATCGAAAGGCGAAAATGTCATGATTCGAATAGATTTTACATCGATTTACCTTTGCACACCACATGCTAAAATGCTGGGACATTATGATTCACAGTAACAGTTTAGTTATGTCTGTACAGGGGAGAACTGGAACATAAGTAAAATTTTGTACATTTGGCCTAGCTACCAATTTTCTTTTAAAAAGATGAAATTATGACTTATGAGGGTACGTTTATTGGTCTATTATTTGACCCAGATTTTGCCTTACGTGATAAGTAGGTAAAGACCTATAGCAGTTTTCCATAGTTACTGCCATTGTTACTTTCGACGAAAGAACACTACTTATTTTTAGTAGAATTAAGTATTTAGGTTTTTATTAACAGGAAACAATAGAAATAAACATTTAAATTAATATATTTTAAGTAATGAGAGAAACAAATATATTTTAAACGATGGAAAATAGAAAACTTCCCCTGCATAGATATTTTGGTACGAGTGTTTTGTAGTGAATTTTCTACTTGTTATTTTTTAAAATATTTTATTAAAGAAGAATAGAAAGGAAAACATATATAAATATATATTTTCATTTACGGGAAGTTATAATTGTTGTAACTTTATGATTCGAAAACGGTACTTATGGTGCAACAACCTAATTGTATTTTCTAATAGTTTTATTTTTGGGATT